CAATATTTGCAAAGAAACGTGTCCTTCTACAGCTAGACATGCCATCTCTAGTCAGATCTACCAAAATTATGTAGAGGGCCTTAAGAAAAATCCACTCATTTTGGATCAAGTAGGCTCTTGTACTTATCAATAGTTTGCAGATCTAAAGATAATGCAATCAGAATGCATGGTGTATGGTCAGCTTAAAGTTAAACTCTCATGTCAAGTTAGGAATATTCTTATTTAAAAATTTTAGTGAGATTTGTGTATTACTTTCAAATATGTGCAGTTATCCAATGTGGAACATTGCCTTTGTGTAGGAGCTTCCACATGGCCACCCTTACCTTTTCCTGGCCTCTTCAGGCTCAGGGGGACACAGCAGGGGGCCGAGCTGTGAGTTGGGCAGGAAGCTGCAGAGTTGTCAGCTGGGTTGTGGTGCTGTTAGTCGGCTGTGCTGCCACCTCATGCTGCTTTATTATGGGTGACATTCTCTTCCTGTTATAAATACCATTCCGTGCTGCTCTCTCTCTCTCTCTTTGTGCGGATGACTGGTCTTGTATCCGCCCCCTTTTCTGAATTTCTGCAGGTAGCCTGTAGTTGGTGGGGCCTGTCCCACAGCTCTGGTCTCTGCACAGGCTACTGTATGTGCATCATGGTGATAATGTCACTGCTACATTACAACGTGCATTTAGAACCTTTGTGGCTATTGAGGAATATATTTGAAGTTTTTGTGCTAGAGATCAGCTATAATGTTTTTGTGCTAGAGGTCATGTTTAGGAGCAGAATAATAAAATTAACTCTGGAATTGCACATCTTTTAGGATTCACTTTTTGCATGGTTATGGATCTCCTTTGTGACTTCTAACAAATGCACACTTTCTAGAAGGGCGGGTTATTCGAATATCATTTTCCAGATTAAAAATAAAATAAAAATAAAAATAGATGTTTCAAGATCACAGGTCACATAATTTCATAAGCAGAATGATACAATTTTAGTTATGAACATACAGTTACATAGACACATAAAAAAAAGGTACATTCCATATACTCAATTGTTTGTCACTATGCTTCCACATAGGACAAAGAAAATGAAGAGGAAAGCCTAGGTCTTCCATAAAGCAGCAACACACCCTGTCTAACCACTACAACTAGTTTCTAAAGCAAACAAAAACTACTAAAAGACAATAGTAAAAGAGAGATAGAAGAAAACATGGCAAATATCCCCACTAGCCCAGGGCATAGATAGTTACCGATTAGCGTCCCTCCCTGACTTTTACAGGAAGTGGAAAAATCAAAACACTCCTAAATTGGTTAAATGCCAACAAAATAGCTGCGTCACAGGACATGCCCCATGCATGGGAAAACTATATCTCAAACCCAACACAAGGCAAATCATATAACATATTGCATACACTCAGTTTAAAGTTGCCATGACACAAACAAGACAACAAACTGTCCATCTTTTGAAAGAATATATAGAATGTTGGTGGAAGAAAGACTATGGGCGCTTTCACATGGGCTGATCAGGAAGGGATTCAAGCACAGAGCCCCTCCTGATCGGAGCAGTACGGATCAGAGGTCACCAATGTGACATCTTTGTCTGTCCAGTTTTTTCCTTTTTGCGATGGAGGGAAAAAAATGAAATGTCATTTTGTTTTTTGGCAAAATCAAATGGAAAAAGGACGTATCAGATTACCCTCAATCCGGCATTATCAGGTCCATCGAAACTGACTGTGTACCCCCATTTACACACGGCTGCCCATAGACCAACATTGGCCATACGATCTGGTCTGCCTAAAAAAAAAAAACTGACAGGTGGACCAAATCAGACCCTCCTTGTGAAAAGGGGCCTGAGGCTCTGTTCATATCCTTGCAATGTGACATTGCACGTGTGCTGCAGGGTACATTGCAGTAGGGCAGACCATTCATTTGAACGGGCCACCTACAACAGCTGAAAAGCACTAAGGAAAAAAAAAGTTCAGCAGCTCTCTTAAAATCGCACAGTAATGCAGGGTAATAAGCTACCTTGCGTTGTGATGCAATGCACATGCGATCATAGGTGCGTTGGTACGCCATTATCAAATAATGGCACCACAACAGTGTAACATGCGACCTCATGTGGTGTGGAATCGGGTGCAGTAAAGCATGCTCTCCCACATCACAGTATGGAACTTAAGTCCCAGACCTTCTTATTAAGATACAGACTTAGCTGCATCAGGCAAAATGTGATCAGGCTTTCAGACAGTACACTAATGGCACTTTCATAACAGTTGTATTCAGTCGCCATTCTCCAGACAAACCCAACAGCTTCCTGCTCGGTACTTGTGCCATATTTATGTCAGGCCTGGATACAGAGAATAATGGCCATACTAGGGATAAAGACAGAGGTGACCAGAGCATATGATCATCCTGCAGGCACAGGCCAGGCCGTGCTGAAATATTGATTTTTCTGTGTCTGAGCTGTATGCTTGTTATTTTCACACTGAACAAGGAGAGAAAATGATAGAAAACAATCTTTATAAAAGAGCAATTACTTTTTACAACAAAAAGCCGAGTGCCATTGGTCACATGATCTTTGCAGAAAAAGGATCAGGCAAGCTGAAAGTTAAACTGAAGCCAACATTTTTGGTTTTGAATAGAGTTGAGAGGGATTCGAATATCTGTCAGGTTATCATTGTCAGTGCCATCGAAACTGCCTGTGTACCCCCATTTACCCACGGCTGCCCATAGACCAACATTGGCCATACGATCTGGTCTGCCTAAAAAAAAAAACTGACAGGTGGACCAAATCAGACCCTCCTTGTGAAAAGGGGCCTGAGGCTCTGTTCATATCCTTGCAATGTGACATTGCACGTGTGCTGCAGGGTACATTGCAGTAGGGCAGACCATTCATTTGAACGGGCCACCTACAACAGCTGAAAAGCACTAAGGAAAAAAAAAGTTCAGCAGCTCTCTTAAAATCGCACAGTAATGCAGGGTAATAAGCTACCTTGCGTTGTGATGCAATGCACATGCGATCATAGGTGCGTTGGTACGCCATTATCAAATAATGGCACCACAACAGTGTAACATGCGACCTCATGTGGTGTGGAATCGGGTGCAGTAAAGCATGCTCTCCCACATCACAGTATGGAACTTAAGTCCCAGACCTTCTTATTAAGATACAGACTTAGCTGCATCAGGCAAAATGTGATCAGGCTTTCAGACAGTACACTAATGGCACTTTCATAACAGTTGTATTC